AATAGCTTTAAGCCTCAGCACTCTGTATTGCTTTTATTCATTGCTTGATAGACTTTAACCTACCCCACCTTCCTCTGACTCATCCTCTTTCATATTAGGTGGTGAGTTTTATGGTGACGTGACAGATAAATGAAGTCAAAAGTCCTACCTTTACAAAACAAGAAATGGGAGATAGGAATAGGGTTGAGGGATGGAGAGGAGAGTAGGTATTTAGAAACCAATTCCTTCCTTGTCACCTATGATGACCAATTTAATTTCTACATGATCTGCTTCTAAATTCTAGTTATGATAACTTTCTTTTGAATGTTCACAATGTATGTTATTGTATTGTATACTTTATAGTCATTATTTTATTCAGTTGTTCCAAAAACCATATACGTTTGGTGTTATCACTAATATGTTCACTTTACAAAGAGAGAAACACCTAATAAAGAGTGGAGGGTGGGATTTGAACCCATGCCCTCTAATTTTAGAGCCTTCCAAGTATTTTGCTATATTTATTCCCATCTCTTCACAAGTAAAAAATAAGTTTTAAGTAGTCACTGGAGCCTGCACCTTGTTTTCAATACTACTTTGATCCTTTCTCAATTTCTTTCCTTTATCAAGTTACCACCAAATGTGTGGATAAGGTTACAGTAAACTAGCAGTCCAGAAACACCCCTTAAAGAAACTGACATTTCCACATTATTTGAAATATGGAAACAGCGCGTTACAGCCAACCAGACATTATTCCTATTTAGTTTGTTTTCACTCAACAATCATTTGCCGAGTTTACATGCTGTTTGCTAGGTGCAGTTAGGTGTTGTGAACACGTGAAAGAATATGGTATGGACTGTGCCTTCATGGACTTTTATGGTCCCTTCCAGTGACAGACACAGCTCTGCTGTGCATCCTCATTTGCAGTCAGTTTTCCCCCCTTTCTTTGCACATCTAAACTAAAACTTAGTTGGAGCTTGGTGTTAATGAGACTGCCTTCTTGCCAACCCAAGCCACCACTATTATTGAGTTTTGATAAATATCTTCTATGACTTTATGATTATCACCAATCATAATTACTGATTAATGGTTCTTATTTAAAATTTATTTTTACATATGAGAGAACATTACAGTTTGTAGAAAATGGAATTTCAGGGCTAAAGTTTGGCATAGCAATTACAATATCTATGTCCCATGTAAATACTAAGTCCCAGCTCTGCTCCTAATTCTGGTTTTCTACTAACGTATGCCCTGGGAGGTAGCAGATGAAGGCCATGGCCTCAGAAAAGGAACAAAAGATGGCCCAAGTGATTAGGCCTCTGTCACCCATGTGGAAACCTGGCAGAAGCTCCTGACTCCTGGCTTCAGTCTAGCTCTCTCTGCCCAGGCTGTTGTGGCTACTTGGGAAGTGAACAGAAAACCCCCCACAAGCTCTTCCCTCTCTGTAACTCTGACTTCAGGGTGTTTGTGTGTGTGTGTGTGTGTGTGTGTGTGTGTATGTGTGATGGCTGTATAACATTCCAACAGTCCTTTAGTGATTGATATTTAGATTGGTATACATTATTGAAATAAATAGAAATAAATATCCTTTGTCTTACTCCTTTTGGGCTGCTTGAACAGAATACTTTTTTTGCTTTTAGAAGATTTTTTTTGAAAGGCATATTTAGAGAGATAGACAGACAGACAGATCTTCCTTCTCTGGCCAGAGCTGGGCCAGACTGAAGCCACAGCTAGGAGCTTCTTCTGGGTCTCTCACATGGGTGCAGAGGCCCAAGCCCTCGGACCATCTTGTGCTTCTTTCCCAAGTGCATTAGACTTGGTTAGAAGTAGAATAGTCAGAAATTGAGCTGTTGCATATATGGGATGTTGGCTTTGCAGGGTGAGGCTTAAATTCAGTATACCACAATACCAGCTCAGAACACAATATTTTAAATTGGATAATTTATAAACAATAGAAATTTGTTGTTCACAGTTTTGGAGGTTGGAAAATTCAAGATAAATTTGCTAACAAATACAGTATCTGGTGAGGCCTTTCTGCTTTATCTATGATGCTGTGTTGCTCTGTCTCCCCATAGTAGAAAGAGAAAGCTAGTTCCCCTTGAGCTTCTTCTATGAGGACGTTAATTCCACCCAATTACCCAAAGCCTCCACTTGTTAATACTGTCACATTAGGGCTTAAGTTCCAACTTAAGAAGTTTGGGGCCTGGCACAGTAGACTAGTAGCTAAAGTCCTCACCCTGCCTGCACTGGGATCCCATATGGATGCCGGTTCTAATCCTGGCAGCCCTTCTTCTCATCCAGCTCCTTGCACGTGGCTTGGGAAAGCAGTCGAGGATGGCCAAAAACCTTGGGACTTCCATGTGGGAGACCTGGAAGAGGCTCCAGGCTGCTGGCCTAGGATCGGCTCAGCTCTGGCCATTGCAGCCACTTAGGGAGTGAACCAGAAGATGGAAGATCTCTGTCTCTCCTCCTCTCTGTATATCTACCTTTCCAATAATAATAAAGCTTTAAAAATAAGTTGTGCTGAAATCTCAACAGCATATATTTCCTCACTTTCTGGACAGCACTGAGTGTTAAGATGAATCTTTCTTCTTCAAGTTTTACTTTTTAAAAAAAGTATTTATTTATTTTTTTAAAGATTTATTTATTTTTATTACAAAGTCAGATATACAGAGAGGAGGAGAGACAGAGAGGAAGATCTTCCGTCCGATGATTCACTCCCCAAGTGACTACAACGCCTGGTGTTGCATGGATCTGAAGCCGGGAACCAGGAACTTCCTCCAGATCTCCCACATGGGTGCAGGGTCCCAAAGCTTTGGGCCGTCCTTGTTTGCTTTCCCAGGCCACAAGCAGGGAGCTGGATGGGAAGTGGAGCTGCTGGGATTGGAACTGGCGCTCATATGGGATCCTGGCACTTTCAAGGTGAGGACTTTAGCCGCTAGGCCACGCCACTGGGCCCAAAGTTTTACTTTTTAAAAGAATTTATTTGAAAGGCAGAATGACAAAGGGAGGGAGGAAGAGAGAGAGAGAGAGAGAAATTGAGAGAGAAAGAGAGATATTGAGAGAGAAGGAAACTCCCAAAAATCTGGATTACTACTCAAATGCTGGCAATAGCGGAGCTGAATTGGGCTGAAGTGGAAGGCCAGAACTCCATTCAGATGTCCCACTTAGGTAGGGATCTAAGTGCTTGAGCCACCATCTACTTCCTGTTAAGGTGTGTATTAGCAGGAAGCTGTACAGAAGATAGAGCAGGGACTTGAACCCAGGCACTTTGATATGGGATGCAAGAGGCCCAAAATGTCATCTTAACCACTGTAGCATAATCCCTGCCCCTATCAATTTTTTAAAAGGTTTACTTATTTTTATTGAAAGGCAGATTTACAGAGAGAAGGAGATATAGAAAGATCTTCTGTTTGCTGGCCCCCTGCCCAAATGGCTGCAAGTGCCAGAACTAAGTCAATCTGAAGCCAGGAGACAGGAGCTACTTCTGGGACTCTCACATGGATGCAGAGTCCCAAGGTTTTGGAACATCCTCTCTACTGCTTTCCCAGCTCATAAGCAGAGGGCTGGATGGGAAGTGGAGCAGCCAGGACATGAACTGGTGCCTATATGGGATGTCAGTGCTTGAAGGAGGTGGATTAGCCAACTGAGCCACTGAGCCAGATTCTATCAATCTGAGTCTTTGTTCATTTGCTAAGTTTAAAATTGGTATCTTCAAGACCCACCACAATAGCCTAGTGGCTAAAGTCCTTGCCTTGAACACACCAGGATCCCATATGGGAGCTGGTTCTAATCCCAGCAGTCCCACTTCCCATCCAGCTGCCTGCTTGTGGCCTGGGAAAGCAGTCAAGGATGGCCCAAAGCCTTGGAACATTGCACCCGCATGGGAGACCTGGAAGAAGCTCCTGGCTCCTGGCTTTGGACTGACATAGCATCGGCTGTTGCACTCACTTGGGGGGTGAATCACCGGACGGAAGATCATCTTCCTCGCTGTCTCTCCTCCTCTCTGTATATCTGCCTTTCCATTAAAAATAAATAAATCTTTAAAAAAATTGGTATCTTCTTATTTTGGTGTGCATTTCTTGAATTATCAGTGAAGTTGACACATTTTGTATTTTTACTGCCACTTTATGATGTTTACATGCCATTTGCTTGCATCTTCACTGTTTTGTTATACATTTGAAAACATTCTTTATGTGTTAACGAAGGTAGTTCTTTGTCATCCAGCAAATGTGTTTTTTTCCAGTTTATTATTTGTAAATTGTAGATGTTGTGATTAAGTAGCCCAACTTGCATACTTTGTAGAAAACTGAATCCAAATATGGTTAATGACTATTCTCTTTTTTCTTTTTTTTTTTTTGTCAGTATATAGTCAGATAGTAGCAGAGCTGAAATGAATCTGTGTCCTTTTTTCTCAGTGTGTTGTTTTTCCATTGTACTATTCTGTAAGACTTAATACCCTCCATCCCTATTCTGGATCTTGCTACAGTTGATATTTCATGATAAGTTTAGACACATGTCAGCCTGATATCTTAATTTGCATTAAGGTGACAGGCATTGTGGCACAGTGATTTCAGCTGGTGTCTGGTGTCATATCTCTTGTTGGAGTGCTTGGGATAAAATCCCGCCTCCACTTCCCATTCAGCTTTCCATAAATGTATATCCTGAGAGGCATCAAATGATGATTCAAATATATGCATTCCTACCACCCGTATAGGAGACCTAGATGGAGTTACTGACTTTTGGATTCAGCTTGGACCAGCCATGGCTGTTGCAGGCCTTTGGAGAGAGAACCAGCAGATGGAAGATTCTCTCTCTTTGCTTTTTGAATAAAAAGATAAATAAACAAATACACTTAAAAAAAATCAAAAGGCTCTAGGTTTTCCAGGATATACAGGAACCTGGGTGACCTCTTAGATATTGGACTATTTCTACCACTTAAGTGACTAAACTGGTTCTGTAAATGGCATTTATATTCATGTTCTTTTCACTTGTTGAAAAGTTTATTTATTTATTTTTTTTAGGTTCATGGGTGTATGTGTACATCAAGGACAATTGCATGCACTTACAGAGGTAAGACTTCAGTGTTTATGTTCCTATCGTATTACTCATGTATATACGTAAAAGGTATGTGTGTTTATGTCTGTGTGAAAATGAAACTGTTAAGAATGCATTCTGCTGTTGCCTGGAGATAGTAGTCATATTTCTTAATGCTCTTGTATTCCCTCATGATACTTGGCAATTACTCCTAGAATACTAGTGCTTGGTGTTAAATTGGTTCTTGCTCCCTGGGTAGCTCCCTCCTATGCCAAGGTTTGGTATTACTCTATTGCAAACTCTCTCATGGGAAGAATTCTCAGAACACCTGGAAATATTTCATGTTCTGGTCTATAATTCCAGTCACTGTTCTGGCTTTTTGATTGGTCTTATTATTTATTAAAATCAATTTTAATCTCTATCCTTATTTCATTTCCAGTGTCTGCAAGGCAGATAAATATATGATAGTCATTATTCAATCTCTGGAAACCAGAGACCTCTCTAGAACAAAGATTTCCAAAATTCGGGTGCCGGGTTATTAGCTTTAGACTTTGCTAGAGTGCTTTGTGAAAACAGATTTCTGGAGTCTACTAGGTTTAACAGGTCCAAATAGGAACTAACTCTATCCCTGTAAGTTTCCCAGCTTATACTCTTGAGCAACAAGAATGTTCTAGAATGTTTTCACATTCTTCTTTGAAAAGTAAGTACCGAAGAACAAAGTGAAGAAATATAGGAAGGAAAGTTGTTTAACAGAATTTGCAAGAGCATTGGTTTCCTGCTACTTTGCTGCTTGTTATTAAACCTTGACACCCTATGAAGGAAGGCTTCATGTGATTCATCCTGTCTTCGTAATTCTCAGTTACCAAAGGTGCAGAATATACAATGTCTGTGGCTGTGTTCTGCTGCTTCTGTGGACAGCCAAAGGAGATGGAGTAGTGAGGAAGTAGAGAATGGTCTCTAATTTTTTTTTGAGATATATTTACTTGAAAGCCAAAGTAAAAGAAAGAAAGACACAACCAAATAAACGAACCAACTTCCATCTGCCTATTCACTTCCCAAATGGATGCAATAGCTAGGGCTGGACCAGGCCAAAACCAGGAACCAGGAATTCTATCTGGTTATCCCGTAAGGGTGGCAGGGACCTAGGCACCTGGACCATGATCCACTATTTTTCCAGGAATATTCACAGGCATGCTGGATCAGGAGCAGAGCAGTCGTGCCTAGAACTGGCCCTCCAATATGGGATACTGGCATCCCAAGCAGCACTTAAACCCTGGCTCAGGCCTCTGACATCTTGGTTATTTAGGATTAAATGTCACTGTGACTCAATGTTTTCCTTACCGGTATAGGAATAGTAACAATAGCTCTTGCCCAAGGAGTGTATAGAGAAGAGGACACGAGACCAAATTCTAGAGTATTTCTTTATTATTGTTGTTGTTGTTTATTTTAAAATATTTATTTTCACTTATTTGAAAGGCAGAGAGAGAGAGAGAGACAGAGGGAGATCTTACACTCATTGATTTACTCTCTGAATGCCTGCAATAGCTGAAGCAGGTATGGCTCAAAGCTATGAGCCCAGACCTCAGTCTAGATCTTCCCCATGGATGGCAAAGACCCAAGTACTTGAGCCTTCATCTGCAGCTTCCCAGGACGTACAGGGAGTTGGAATCAGGAGTGGACCCAGGACTTGTGAGACACAAGTGTCTTAATCTGCATCTTAACTACAATGCTGAAAGCCTACCATTAGTGTTTAAAAGTCTAGGAAAAAGTGAAGACTAAGGAGGACTGAAGAAATCAAGTGAGGCTATTGGCCTGAAGTGGAAACAATTTAAAGGCAGAAGAGGGGTCCCAGCATGATAGCATAGTGGTTAAAGTCCTTGCCTTGAATGCACCAGGATCCCATATGGGAGCTGGTTCTAATCCTGGCAGTCCCACTGCCCATTCCGCTCCCTGTTTGTGGCCTGGGAAAGCAGTCGAGGATGGATGGTCCAAAGCTTTGGAACCCTGCACCCGCGTGGGAGACCTGGAAGAAGTTCCTGGCTCCTGGCTTCGGATCGGTGTAGCACTGGCCATTGTGGTCACTTGGGGGTGAATCATCAGATGGAAGATCTTCCTCTTGGTCTCTCCTCTTCTCTGTATATCTGACTTTGCAATAAAAATAATAAAATAAATCTTTTTAAAAAAGAGGAGGAAGAGGGAATTAATGGTGATAAATGTTGCTGATAAAATGTCAACTTACAGTAGTATAGTGAGGATGAATATAAAATGCTTCCTTAACATACTTCCTGACTTTAGTAATTACCTAATACATGTTCGCCATTACACCTTTTATTAATGACTGACTAATTATTCCTTGAACTTTGAATCATTATATTTTCCTTTAAAACTGTGTTCTATACTGCTTTTAGTATCATTAAAAAAGTTTTTTAAAACTTTTATTGTAGTATAACAATAAAAACATATATGAGAAGAGTACAGTTCACTAAATTTTTACTCCCATATGAATATTCCCATAACCAGCATCAAAAAACCATTTTCTGTACATTTCTACTCTTGAAAATTAATCTATAAATTCTTCAAAGACAAAAACCCTTTCCTTCTCTCAAGACTTCTATCCATCAGAAGGTTTTAAAGCAAAGTAGTTTTTTTTTTTTTTTTTTGGTTTGTTTTTTGAAGGGAATGTGTTATATTTTAAAAATTATTTTATGACACAATTCCATGGACTCTGGGATTTCCCTTACCCCTTCACAAACTCCCTCCCCACCACTGATATCCCCTCTATTATTACAATATTATAATCTTTCATAAGCAGTCATAGTCCATGTTTTTGTTTTAATTAAAAATTAATTTTGAGGGCCTGGCGCAGTAGCCTTACAGCTAAAGTCCTCACCTTGAATGTGCCAGGATCCCATATGGGCGTCAGTTCTAATCTCAGCAGCCCTGCTTCCCACCCAGCTCCCTGCCTGTGGCCTGGGAAAGCAGTGGAAGACAGCCTAAAGCCTTGGGACCCTGCACCCATGTGGCTGACCCAGAAGAAGCTCTGGGCTCCTGGCTTTGGATCTGTGCAGCTCTGGCCATTGTGGCTTCTTGGAGAGTGAATCAATGTATGGAAGATCTTTCTCTCTGTCTCTCCTCCTCTATATATACCTAACTTTCCAATAAAAAGAAAATAAATCTTTGAAAAATATTAATTTTTGAAAGGCTGAATTACAAAGACAAAGACAGAAAAGAGAGCCATAACCACCATCTGCTGGGTCTACATCCCAGATGGCTGCAGCAGCAGGAGCTGGGCTGGAGCTTCTTCCAGGTCTCCCATGTGGGAGCAAGGAGGCATCCTTCACTGCCTTCCCAGGCTCATTAGCAAGAAGCTAGATCAGAAGTAAAGCAATAAGAACTCCAGCTGTGGACTCGATGTGATAGTGTAGCAGTTAAAGTCCTTGCTTTGAATGCACCGGGATCCCATGTGGGCACTGGTTCTAATCCCGACAGAGCTGCTTCCCATCCAGTTTCCTGCTGGAGGCCTGGGAAAGTCGTTGAGAACGGCCCAAAGCTTTGTGACCCTGAGCCGGCATGGGAGACCTAGAGGAGGAAGAAGCTCCTGGCTTTGGATTGGCTTGATTCCAGCCTTTGCAGCTGCTTTGGGAGTGAATCATCAGAAGGAAGTTCTTCCTCTCTGTATATCTGCCTTTCCATTAAAACTAAATAAATCTTTTTAAAAATCCAGTTGTCACGAGTATGGGATGGTGGCATTGCAGGCCATGGCTTTACCCTCTATGCCTTTGTTTTTTGTTTTAGTTTTGAAAGATATATTTTATTTGTTTAAAAGGCATAGTTACATAGAGAAAAGAGAAGAGGGGAAGGAGAAAGTGAGCGAGAGAGAAAGATTCTCCATCTTCTGGTTTACTCACCAAATGGCCACAACAGGTAGAACTGAGATCAGCTGAACTCAGAGCCTAGAATCCATCCAGCTCTACCATATGGGTTGCATGGGCCCAAGCGCTTGGGCCATCTTCAGCTGATCCCAAACACTTTAGCCGGGAGCTAGACTGAAAGTGGGGCAGCCAGGACTTGAACTGGCACCTGCATGGGATGCAAGCTTCACAGATAGTGACCCAACCAGCTATTCCAAAATACTAGCCTCAACTTAGAGTTTGCTAAAGTTAAATATAGTTTAGTAAAAATCACCTGGAACCTGTTAAGCTTAATGAGTTGAATTAAAAATCTATATTGAGTAGAAACACACTAACTAGGTCTTTGAGAAGACCTATTGCTGTTTTTCACTGTGTCACAAGTATTAGGGAAGTGAAAGCCTTTGATTTTAAAATGCAGAAATCATAAAGATGCTATATATTAGTTATTGCTACATAACATGATACCACAAAAGCTCAAAAGCATGTAGCAATAAATATCTATTTCTCATACATCTCCAGAGATAGCTGAGCTGACTATAATTGGGCAGTTCTGCTGGTTTTACTTATACTTCCTCATGCAGGTCAGCTGCTCTAGGTTGAGATCTGTGGCAGGTAGCCTTGCTGCAACTGTTTCTTATCGTTCTTCTGGACCAGTTGGTTAGATTGGATCTGTCTTTAAAGAGATGCCGGAGGGCCTGGCCTAGTGGCTGGAGTCCTTGCCTTGGATGCACTGGGATCCCATATGGGCGCCAGTGTGTTCTGGCTGCTACATTTTCCTTGCAGCTCCCTGCTTGTGGCCTGGGAAAGCAATGGGGAACAGTTCAGAATTTTGGGAACTTGTGCCTACATGGGAGACCTGGAAGGGACTCTGGCTCCTGACTTTGGATCAGCTCAGCTCTGATCATTGCGGCTTTTTGAAGAGTGAACCAGTAGATGGACGATCTTTTTGTCTCTTTGTCTCTCTCTCTCTAGATAGATAGATAGATAGATAATGCCAGGTGTTTGGTCTAGCAGTTAAGACACCCAAATACCATAGTAGATGGCCTGTGTTTGATTCTAGCTTCCTGCTAACGAAGACCCTGGAAAGCAACAGGTGATGGCTCAAGTACTTGGGTCCCTGCTGTG